TGCTAATGGGCTTTACTTTTTAAAAACTCCCTGTTGCAATTGAAGAGACATATAATTAATAAATAAAAGGAAAATAAAAAGAAAATTAATCTGTGATATATAAAAACCATATGCTTTTTATAACTTACACAACTGACTATTGCACTTGTGCACACAGAGGGAAAGGTAAATTTTCACATTAGGGAAAAATCATTGGTTGTTAGTTGGTGGTAGTCTTGGTAACCAAAAATAATTTTGCTTCTGTTGTGACTATTTAAAAAGGAAGGGAAAATGATGCCTTCTCAAGGCTCTTTTTGAAGCCTCCAGAAGCCCCCAGCACCCCAAAAATATTTTTCAAAAGGAGTTGCCCCACAGTATACCATGATGCATAGTTCATGTTTCTTTGCACTACTGTAGGGACAAGACCTTTTTTCCCTCAAAAAAATCTTTTTGGGAAAATGTGCAAAAAAGAGAGTGATACACAGAGAGAGGTGGCAGTGTTTTTCAAAAATCCCAAGGAGTGGCCAAAATTACCTGATCTCCAAAAAGTTGCCTTATCCTATTCTTGATATTTAGGGTATCAAGACAGGTTTTCATCCTGGTAGGCTATTTATCACAAGGAAGTTTGGTTTATTTTGATGCATCTGGTTTTGCAATCACTATGGGATAGTAAGAAAGTGATCCAAATGCATTTTAATGTTGTTTACCCCACAGGGTCATTAATCTTCCCAGATCAAAACTCCCTTCTTCTTTCTCACCCTGACTAATATTTTGAAGGATTGCCATATTCCCCAATCTAGCCATTTTCTATGGGATGGCATTGGGACCCACCTACCTGCGTGACCGCATTTCCGTATATGAACCCACATGATCTCTTTGTTCATCTGGAGAAGCCCTGCTCACGATCCCACCTGCATCGCAAGCGCGATTGGTGGGGATGAGGGACAGGGCCTTCTCGGTGGTGGCCCCACGACTCTGGAACTCCCTCCCCAAGGACATCAGGCATGCCACAACATTGGCAGTCTTCAGAAGGAGCTTGAAAACATGGATGTTCCAGTGTGCCTTCCCAGATTAAGGAATCCCAAGCAATATGTCCCAAATGCACTTTACAAGAGGGTTAGAATTGTCTGCACACCCACTTACCCCCCAAAATATCCAGCCTTTTTCACCTGGTCATACCCAGCATTTTTTTTTTAAAAAAAATTAATCTTTACATTTGGCCATGCCAGGTTTTTAAATTGTGTCGTGATATTTTGTTCTTGTTTTTGCTTTGCTATGAGTTATTTATTGTTGTATTGTATTGTTGTGGTTGTGTTTTTTGTTCTGATGTATTTTGGGCTCGGCCTCTTGTAAGCCGCACGGAGTCCTGCGGGAGATGGTAGCGGGGTATAAATAAAGGTTTATTATTATTATTATTATTATTATTATTATTATTATTATTATTATTATTATGGTTGTGCATACGTTCATTTCTGTAGCCTTCTGTGAACAGATGTTTTCTTGTTGATCCATCCACCAACCTGATGTTACTTAATTCAAGGGATTGCATAGAGACCTCCATCCAAAGTGTGAATATTGGAGGGTTACATGAGGTTTCTATGCCTGTGGCAACCTTAAGACAAAACATCATAGGAAACAGTCTAACATTATCTAGCTTTCCTGTTTGTACCACTCACATACAGGAGCCTCTAAGGTTTCAGCATAATAGAAACCTTCTCCTCACAAATGGAGCTCTGGAAATTATTTCTAATTTCACTCCTTAATGTGAATTGGGAAAACGAAAGGAAGACTACAATGCAGCTTGAACTGCATTATATGGCAGGGTCAATCCAACCTCAGTGAGGATTAGAACCTACATTTCCTAAGTCACAGTTCAAGATACCGGAGCCCCCAGTGGTGCAATAGGTAAACCCTTGTGCTGAAATGCCTGATTACTGACAGGTTGACGGTTCGAATCCAGGGAGTGGGGTGAGCTCCCGTCTCAGCTCTAGCTTCCCATGCAAGGACATGAGGGAAGCCTCCCACAGGATGGTAAAACATCAAAACATCAGGGCACCTGGACAATGTCCTTGCAGATGGCTAATTCTCTCACACTAGAAGCAACTTGCAGTATCTCAAGTCGCTCCTGGCACATACAAAAAAGCTCAAGACACTAACCACTGCACCACACTGGGTCTTACTTTTAGGTGTTATTGCTGCTTGGGGTTTAGACATGTTCTGAAGTCTGTTGTGTAAGCTCTAACATGCTGAATTCTCCACTGGTGTTTTGATTTGTTCTGCTTTAAGTATATATTTGTATTCTTTCATCAAAAAGTCAGACTATGTGACCTTGAACTTTTCCTGTCCTCACTGCCCTGAATCTAATTTCTAGCCACAAAGTGTTGAACGTGCTGCTGAAAGACCTTCCAGGATGTTTGAGTTTCTATTAAACATGACAGTAAATCAAAGTTTAGCTTCCTTGGTGATACATGGTGTAAATGAGGTTTTATTTTAAAAGGTTAGCTTTGATGGCAAAAGGAAAAGTTACCTGTCAGTTAAGCAGTGGTCAAAGGTATCCTTGTGGAAGACAACAATTAACAGAACTCTTTCTCTAACACATCTTTTTCAGTTAATTCAAGAGATAAGATGAAGACTCTTTCACTCTGGTTAATGTATAATGTGACCAGCAGAAAATGTTCAATCTTTATGTTTAAGGCAAAGCTCATCATCTGACCAATTTTCCTGATAGTTCAAATCTGCAATTTTAACATGCAGTTGGAAAGCTGATGCAATGGGTGAGGGATGGAACATCTACGAAATGGTTGATATTTGCTTTATTACTTTTTTAAAAATGTGGAGGATGAGGTCCTTTGTAGAGAATATTCAGACTATCTAGCACCTTTATCACTTTGTCTGCCACTATATGAACACTTCTACAATGAAAGGAAGCTTATTGGTACAAAATGGATTACCTGAGGGACTGCAGACCTTAAGAGAGCATGTCCTTAGATGCTTTTTCCTGACAAGTGCCAGGCTAGAGAGAAACTCCATTAACAGGATGCCAAATGTTTTCAGAGTGAAGAGTTTTCTCATTCTCCCTTCCCCAGTTGATAAATCTTCTCTTCAAAGTGGTCTTCACGTTGTTGTTTTATCAATTACAAGTATTTGTGCAATGTAAACATGTGTTGCTGAGCAGTTTTATAAAAAGCAAATGGAAAATCATTTATAGGATGCTATAAAAGCATTTCCCATTGACACATCTCTAAAGCCAACCCATACAGTCTGGATACAGATTGCAGAAGGCCAGAGGAAAAGTTAGGCAGTTCAATAGTTTGGAGCAACATAAGGGAGCCTTATTGTTAAATTTTATCTTCCTTTTTTTAAATCCCACAAGATGGTGCTGTGCTACCCATGAATATATGGCTCCTGTTTCCTTTGTATTATTGCTCAATTGCCATTTGAAACTATTTTATTGGGATCAGCCTAACAGTGTAACGACTTGCTCTCTTTTACATATTTGTTGAAAATGATATCTCAACAAGTTCAGTAAGGGTAAATTATTTGCTAAGCTGTTCTTGGATGTACAACAAAAAGCCAGCCAACTGGGAAATATGGTTACTGTCACTTCCTGAAGAAAGTATGTGATCCTGGCTGTGTATGAAGAATGGAAACAATTTACTATTGATGTTGCCTATGTTAAAAACTGAGAAGAATGGGAACATTCACCCCCAAAGAAGCCTATGAAAAGACTCCAGCTTACCATGATAACTTAGATTTGTTTAGCTTTTGCTATCCATTGTGGTTGTGTTTGCTAGACAAACATGTGCAGCAGCTGTTTTCATAAAATCATCAATAAAGTAATTTGAGTATAAATTGGTATTCTGGCATGCAAAACTCAGCTAAACGTCTCCTCTGTTCTCACCCACTATGTATGTAGCCACCTCAGCATCTACTGCACTTTGCAACTGGATGTAAGCTCTCTGTGTTCAAATGCCAAGGGAAGGCAACAGAGAAGTTTTTGGTATTTCTAAAATGATATCCCAAATGCCAGAGAGACATGGAAGAGTTGTTTTTTTTAAAAAAAATGAGGACACCTCATTTGAACACTGTTTAGAAATACCTGATTTATCTGTCTATCCCACAGAAAGTTTGGAAAATTAGCTTTTTTTTTAATTACAGCATCCTGAATTTCCCATCCAATATGAATTTTGGCTACAATGGCTGGTGACTTCTGGAAGTTGCAAGATAAAAAAATTCCCAGACTCTGGTCCCTTCCGCACAGCTAAAAAAAATCCCAGATTATCTGCTTTGAACTGGAATATATGGCAGTGTGGACTCAGATCACCCACTTCAAACCAGATATCATGAGATTTTCTGACTTGATATTCTGGGTTATATGGCTATGCGGAAGGGTCTTCAGTCTGCACATGACAATTGGGCTCATGCTACAGGTTATATAGGATTTCTTTTAGACTTATCCAGCTCAAATGTTTGAGTTGGACACATCTTTTGGATAAGGTTCATCTAGTTTTTATTGTCCTTTATCTGGAATTCCAAAATAAGTGGCTATGAAGTAACAGCTTTGTTTTCTGATAGTTAAATGGATACATTACTTCATAAAAAATATTGTGTAAAATTACTTCCAGGCTATGTGTATATGTTGAATATGAAGTATAAATGAATTTCATGTTTAGACTTGCACCCCATCTCTAAGCTACCACTCCTTTATGTATATATTGGTATGTACAAGCATTCTAAAACCAAAAATAAATAAATCTGAAATCCAAAACATTTCTTGTCCCATTTCAGATAAAAGATACCAGTAAGTTAGAGATGTTGCTATTCCCCTTGTCTAAATAAAGAAGGCATGCAGTTGAGTTGAATTTGATAATTGCAGCAGGTGCAGAATACTACTCTATCTATGTCATATACTCACAGAAATGGCTCAAAGTCTGAATGTTCCCAACGTGCCAGCTTCTTCATCAACTTTCTTTGTTACTTTCTCTGACTTGTTAATTATTATTAAAGGGGAGTAATGAAGAGGAACATGTACCAAAGTCCACTGTGAGATAAAAAGGCAACAGCTGACATCTTCTCGGCAGTCATGAACCAAACACCAGCCACTGCTGAGCCACCCAGCAACAGGCCTGAAAGAAAGACCATTGTCTTAGATGTTCCTGACATCATTGTTGTTGTTGCTTATTTTGCCTTTGTTCTTGCTGTTGGAATATGGGTAAGTCTCAGATGCAAGCCATTTCACAGAGATTTGGGAGAACCTTGTTTTTGAACGAAGCCGCTTTACAATTTAGCATTAATACCCCAATTTCCAAAGCTTAGAAATGTCACCTTTTGGACATTCCCTTGTTGAACCCCTGAGCCAACATCGGCACAGGACCTCATCACAGTAGAGCATGGATCCACTTTAAATCCAGTTTCTGCCTCCTGCAGAATTCTGGGGCTTGTATTTTATATTGTATATGCCTCACAAACCCCAGAACTCCACAGGAGGCAGAAACTGGGTTTAAAGTGGATCCATGCCATAGTGTGATGAGGCTGACCAATAATGTGGATTGGGGAAAGTAGCTTTTCCACATTCTTCCTATTTAATGATATTTCTTATTTTGATTGCTTGAATAGAACTAGCTTTATATTTGAAATCAATGTTCTAGTTGGGAATGAATATCTTTTTGCTAATTTTCAGCTTCAATATATTTCATGAAGTAACCAGAAGTCTACTTGGTCTTTTCTTCTGGGTTTTCGAGTCCAGTTTTGGACTACTTTTCATTTGGAGAGTGAGGGTCAGGCAGTATATTTTCATTTCAATTTCTTTAAAAAAAAATAAGGTGTCCAGGGATTTTGGGTGAGTTTGGGTGCACATGTATGCCTCAACCATGTTGCAAAATACATGCTACATTGTACATGGCTGCTCATTTCCTATCCTGAATAGAAGCCACAGATAGTATCCACTGAGTTTATAAACCCTACAGAAGGAGATGCCTCTTTTCCATTATATACTTGTTGCTTTGAGAATATGAGATGCATTTCCTACTCAGGGCCCCAAGGTTATTTATTCACCTTACTCTGTGTGTCCTGACACCCTTCTTCTTAATCCCAAGGATATAAAAGATATTTAAGGTTGCCAGATATTACTAAAGTGGCTTCCCTTAGTAATAGAAGTAGTAGTACTATTAATCTTTGTGGTGTAGTGGTGTGAGTGATGTAGTGGTGTAAGTATTGGATTATGACTATAAAGATCATGATTCAAATCTCCACTTGCCCTGGTTGACCTTAGGCAAGTCACACTCTTAGTTTGCGAAGAAGATAGTGGCCAACCCACTCTAAACAAATATTTCCAAGAAAATATTTTCTTTTCCAGTTCTTGGCATTGCAATTTTTTTAAAAGCAAACTTCCGAAGATCCAGGCAAGTAGGGATTTTCCCCTTTTTCATTTCACTGATTCATACTAACAATTTTTCTCCACTTCAGTCATCTGTTCGAGCCAGTCGAGGAACAGTTGGGGGCTATTTCTTGGCTGGAAGATCCATGACATGGTGGCCTGTAAGTTTGTAGCATGATAAAAAATAATGTTGTTGTTTTCCTACTTTTTTCTCCAAAACTATAACTCAGAGTCACACACTGCAATTATTCATATAAAAGGTAAGTATTAAAATAAAATTAAACTATTTATGGAATTAAAACCATTCATATTGTATAAAAGCATAAAATGTAATTTTAAAAGATAAAATATTCTTAAAGGATCTCAACCCATGGGGTGGAGTGGGGAAATTTGTCTTATTTACTGTTTTGTTCCATTGCATTTATAATGAAATTGATAATATATTCACCCTCATCACGCACAGTGTACTTTTGTCCATTTCTATAGTAATTCTCCATGTTCTGAGCTATCACATGAGAAAGTGTAGTCCCTATTTTCTTTCTTTTTAATAAAAAAGAAGAATCCTTGTCATTGTGGAAGTCCAAAATCTACATCTAAAAAGGGGGGAAATATAGCTACAACAATCTGGTAATGTATCAAAATTGTGCAATTCCTAAGGAATACATTATTAAATAAATTACCATAAAGGTTTCATGAAAGAGGATTAATGTCAAGAAAAGGAGTATTGAGGCACATTTTGAGAATGCATAGAGGAATGCCCACACTTTGATGTCAGTACAACGATCTGACATGGAAGAATATGACAGTCCCCATCCCTCATTCAGATCAGCGCCTTTGGTAATTTATGTGCAAACTGGGACTTCTGAAGACTCCAAAACCTCTGTTTCTACACATTTTTAAAAAAGGTTTAAAGACAGAGCCCTACAGGGAACCACTGGAAATAGTCTTGCCTCATATAAGAGGCTCCATGGGGATCTGTCTTTAAAGTGTTTTTAAAGTGTGTAGAAACAGGGTAGAGGTGTGGGTGAGGGGACCCTGTATCTGATGAGGTCCAAAAAGGCAAGTTGAAACCATACAGGATTTCTTAGCTCTTTTGTTCTGTTTTTAAACTTGCTTAAATAAAAAGATTTGCCAGTGGAAGGACAACAAGGAAGGGCTTATTCTGAGCTCTCGGGGAAGGATCATTCAGAGTCTAGGGACAGCCACCAAGAAGGCTCTCTTTAAAGTACAAAGTGCTGCAATATCCAGACACAAGAGATCCAAGGCAGAAGAGGAACCACCTTTCATGCATGATACCATTAGTGTAGTTTCAACCCAGCTGTCTCTATCTTCTCATTGATTTTATTTTCATCTTACACTTGTAATTAATACTGAATATAAATCTGTGTTAGTGAATCCTAAACAGCAACAGAATCCAACTTCTACATCCAAAGAGTTATGTTTCCTTCTCCACCTGTAAGCCTATTTCTCCCTTTAGAATCACAGGATCATAGAGCCATGCAGGAATAAAGCACCTCAGAAAGATGCCCATCCAACCTATTTTTAAAGAGCGCCAAAGAAGAAGAAAATCATTTTTGTAGTCTAACTGTCACAATATATTTTGCTTTGGCTAGCTTTACAGGAGTGATAAGAACCTAACACATGGCAGAGAGGTTTTATCTCCTACTGCTTATCTGTCCAAGTCAGTCTTCCTCATGCTTCTGAGATTTCACTGGAAGCTGCTTAATCATGTCTCGGTTTATTCTCCGTGTTGAGTGCTATATGCTGATGCTCTATCTCCCTCCACCATAATGTTCTGCGCAGCCTTTTATAAAACAAACAGCTGGTCTGGTTTTTCAGGAAATGTTGTTTAATAGCCATGATGTTCCAACAAACTAAAAAAAATCCAGATGGGGAGTGCTAACATTCACGCCTTGGACAGGAATTGTACTAATAACAAGGGATAGTCTAATGCTGAGAAAGAGAAATGGAATAAAGAAGGCAGAGGTTGAGCATCCCTTACATTTATTTTTGTTTGTTTGTTCATTTGTTTCTTACATTTGTATGCCACCTTTATCCCAGAATGGGACCCAAGGGAGTTTCCAAAATATGGGTGGCTGAGATAGTGACACTTTTGCTTTCTGATGGTTTAGTGCAGGCATCCTCAAACTGTGGCTCTCCAGATGTTTGGGCCTCCAACTCACAGAAGCCATAACAAACTTGTTCATTTGTCAGGAATTTTGGGAGTTGAAGGCCCAAACAGCTAGAGGGCTGCAGTTTGAGGATGCCTGCTTTAGTGTATACAAACTTTGTTTCATTCACAAAATAATTAGAAATATTGTATAAAATGACCCTTCAGGCTATGTATATGACATGTATGAAACAGATTAATGTTGTGTTTAGACCCAGATCCCATATATCTCATTGTGTGCATATACATAAACGCAGATATGCCAAAACGTTCCATAAAAATCTGAAATCCAAAACTCTTCTGATTACAAGCATTTTAAAAAAGCGATTCGCAACCTGAAGCAGAAAAAAGAAAGAAGGGGGTGGGGAAGACGCCAGCACTCATTCTGTGGGCAGAAAGAAGGGGGATTCAGGGGAAAAATTGAGATCTATGCTGCCATAACATTTATGTAATTAGGATGGTTGCACCAATTGCTGTACTCAACATTACCAATGATGTGGTGAGATCTCCTTCTTCAGAGGTTTTGAAAGAGAGACAAGATGACCATCTTTTGGGAGTGCCTTGATTGTGTGTTCATGCATAGCAGAGGGTTGTACTGTCTGGTCCTTGTGATATTTTCTAACTCTTTGATTCTATGAAATCATGTTGCATCATAACTGCCTCTGTAAACATTGTCAACCTAGCAGATTACATGTTAAATAATTCAAAGCTATGTTAGTCTATCACAACTTAAAAATGTAAAATAAGATTAACTTGTTTACTTTGGCATGAACTCTCATGCATATTAATCCACTTCAGAGGCACTGCAGGCCAGATGTTTTTGTATAGTTACATAGTTGTGGGAGTGGGGTCAGAAAGTAATTGGATACAGAATAATGCAAAGTGACCCTGGCTTCAAATCATTCTATTGACCTCATCACATGGAGGTCCAGAAGCCTAGAGACAGTATGGGAAATCACGGGGCAGCACCCAACTTCATCCCTTTATCATTGAGGGTCGTGGACTGCCATCCCACAATGACTCTGTGCTGTTCCCGGCTTCTTCAATGAAGAGACGGGAAGTCATCCGACTGCTCAGTGCTCCCTCTTAGCATACTGCTAGCATGGAGCTCCATGGAGCCCTTCCAGAAGTAGCCCTGCATCATTTGATGGGCTTCAGCAGATTCCATCCCAGCAGTGTGCTGGCATCACACTAAGATGGGGAAAAACCATCCGTCTTATGAGGTGGTATGAGATGATAAAGGTTTTTCAGGTAGCTGCTCTGAAGAAAAGAGGTGTGAAATCAATATATCTGCTCACACAAAAAAGTTTCCTTATATCCAGAAACTCATCTGAGGAAAATTATTTAGTTCAACTGCAATCATGAAAATCAATATAAGTATACCTCAGTTGAATGTGTTCTTGGACATTAATGAGCCTCCACCATTCTTGTGATTTCCATTTTGGTTGCCAAATTGATTTTAACATGATGAGTATAGCTAATGTGACAAGAATATCTCTACTTTCCCCTCTTTCTCTGTTTATTTGTCAATGCAAGTTCAGTGAAGGATTCTGGTAGTAGCTGCTGTTTTCTTTGCCTGTTGTGGGCACACAGAAACAGCTGTAGCTGCAATAGGATAAGGTAGAATAAAATCCCATTCTTTTCCAGTTCAAGCTTCATTGCATTCATTTCTGCATATACATTACAGTCCCTGAGTCACAAACATCCAGTTTACAAATGACTCATAGTTAGGAATGGGAGTGAAACAATAGGAAATGAGAAAAATCCATCCCTAGGAAGGGAAATTCACCCCTGAAAGAGTTATCACGTAGCAGTGGAAAGTTCGTCCTAGGCTGTTAAGATATCAGCAGCCACTTCTTAGGCAAAACAAATATCTTTCTATGGCTGGCTGCACAGAAAGCCTGTAAATATATACATTTGTGTGCATACACATACATACATGCATACATGCATACATACATACATACATACATACATACACACCCACACACCAATATGCATTTGTAAAGTGGCATTGTCCGGTTCAAAACAAATGCTATTTGTTTTGCTGAGATTTTATTCTAAACATAGCAGTCAAAAAGGGATTTCTTTTTGTGATTGAAAAATACTTCTTTTTCACATTAAAAGGGGAAAATAACCCCAAGTTGAAAAGCAGTTGCCATTCCTTTTTTGCTTGAAGCAATGGCAAAGTCTCTTTTGCACTGTCTAGTAACTTCTTCATTTTATTGAGCAACTGTGTTAGGGCTCCAACACTAAATTCCCCATACATAAATCTCCACAATGATTCACTAGAAAAGCATAAACCTTTTGAAGGACACATTTTCTTTAGAGCAGAAAGGTAGTATAACAATAATTTAAGGACCCAGAGAAATAAGTGTCAGAGGAGTAAATATCCTTTTTACTTTGTGACAAAAGCACAGGGCAGTAGATTTCTCAAGTGTTCAACGCAAGCTGAATGCTGTTTCAGACTCCAACTTTGTCTTACATCCTGTGGGCTACATTAACTATAAATTCTGTACACTAAGTTTTTCCCATGACTCTTTCTCCCTCCATATATATATATATATATATATATATATATATACATATATACTTGTTATTATCTTAATGTGCTTTGTGCTATAGTTTCCCCCTGGTGATATTCAAGTATTGGCTTTCCTGTTGTTTATGTGGTTACACTGCAGACATTTTAAAAAGCTGAGGGGAAAAAACAGTTCTTCCTTGCTAAACCTAGTTTTCTCTAGAAGAACTTGTCAATTGTAGATTCCAGATGAGGATTTGATGCAAAATGCAAAATGGCACCTTGGGTAATATATCTGTTTAGTGAAAAGGCTTGGTGGTCCTAAAAAAATCCACACTACATTGAGCATGTGTTCTATGAAATCCAGATTTTTGCAGGTTACTATCTGTGGTTGAATTGCCAGTGTTACTCAAAAGTCCAAATATATTTTTTAAATTCCTGGGCGTATTGTTCTGTTGGTCTGTTCCTAGGGTTATTGAGAAAATTGCTAAAGACCATATCTGTTCTAGTTCCTTAGATATGGTTACTATGATTTCTATGAGTAAACAGATGAAGACTGATCTGTGGCATATGTTCTGTATCTCAAAACTGGAGCTGATAGGTGAAAACAAGTGACATCAGAAGGTCAAATATACCCAGAACCAGGTATCATATTGAGGCATCAAAATGTGTGTTACCTGTGCTGTTAGTGTCAACACAGTAGCATCACTATTTTTTCCAGTCCAGCAATCCTTCACTCCACCTGACATGCAGTTTTATTGGCATGATTTACTTGGTTGACTGGCTTGATTTACTGAGACTGAGAATATGGCTTGTCTAACTTCACCCAGTGAGCTTCCATGGCCAAGAAGAGATTCAGATCTTGGTCTCCAGGAGTCCTGACTCAATATTCAAACCACTACACTGTGCAGACTCCATTTTCTAGTTTGGGCTAGGAACTGCTAATCTAAAGACATCATGGGCCTGTTCCTTTCTCAGGTAGGAACCAATTTGAAGAAGCAGTACCTTCTTTTTTCTGCTCACTCCTTGCTGTTTCTCCTCCAAAGTAATGGACCTGGACGAAAGCTTTGTACAGGATTAATTGCTCCACAAACTCCTCTCTCTTCTATATTCCAGGATATAGAGATAGTACAACTGCTGCCAAGGAAATGACAAAATTTTGATTACTTAAAACCACTGTGGCATTGTGTTACACAGTTTTATATAATTTCTTTACTGCTAAAAGTCCTATCTATTTTGATAGGGGTATGTGTTTTAAGGACAGTGTTTACATTTCTGGGGAGCCTTCCTGTTTGCCCAAGTTACGAATGCATATTGTACACTCAGTCTTTTAATCAGACACATCCCAGATGAGATGTTTTGCACTGTTTGCTTCAGGAAAGGTTTTCTAATTTTATCCCCTATTAATATTTTAACTATCCCTAAGGTGAGAAGCAGGTCAAATTCCATTAGTCTTTGCTTAGGGCTCAGTCGTGCAGAGGTAGAAAAACCTACAGTTCAGAAAGGGGAAGAAATGAATCACAGAGTAAGTGAGACAATGCCTTTTATTGGAAAAAGTATAACATTCACAACAGTGGAAATGTCAGCCTTTGTCACATACACAAAAATATTCTACAGGGATAGATGTTAAAAACAAGTATTTTTTAAAAAAACCAAGTGATGATGCATGATAGAAAAAGTTAACTGGAATAGTCATGAGTTGCTTAAATAAAAAGAACAGAAGCTCTGAAGAGAAATTTTGTTGATATTGAGCATATATTAGGGAAATTACGTTGCAAAACCACAGCTCACAGAATCCCTCAGTAAGTATGGCTAGTGGCTAGGATGTCTAGGAGCTTCTAAAAGATATAGGCCAAAAAAGGGACATTTCCCAGGGTGCCATATTGCTCATAATTGGTATGGGCTTGGGGAAGGTCTATTTTTGTGTTTTACAATTCCTCAAATCCCAGGTTGGTATTGCTCTGCCAATAAAAGATTTGTCTCATTGTTGTTTTGTTGAAATAAAAGCAAATCCAGCTTCCAAAAGATGCTAGAAAGAATATCTTGAGAGTACAGGAATAAATCCATGTTTAACAATGAATTTCATTATTTAAACCTAGACATAGTTGGCAGATTTCTTACAGATATGAAAAAGAACTTCCAGCTTGGTGCATTTATAGTAGACAAGTTGTTTGTCATCCTGAAAGTAGATCCCAGTTTGACAGGGCAGACAGCAGTCTTCAATCTGCTTCAGGGTGATTTTCCCTTTACTGTGTGGATACAGGATTCCATCCTCATATAGGATCTTGGCCGGATTTCCCATATAAAGTAATGTAATGCAGTGTACTATGTCAGGATTTTAGTAGACGTGTATTTCTGTGATTTGATAGTATTGTGTCAAAATCAGAGTTTTCAAATGAGATTTGTGGACAATACTTCCCTGAATCCTCTAACCATCATGACAATTGCTACATGTGAGTTAAGTATCACTTATCTGCCAATCTGATGAAACCATTTTAGGTATTTATTTCTAGCTCTGTTCAAAAGCCATTTTTGACTACATCTAATTGAGCCATAGCCTTTTTGTGTAAAAAAATAATAATTGTTTTCTTTATTGCAAATACAAAACACACTAAACATACTTGATGTGTGTCTCATAATCATAATCTATACTGCATAATTCCCAGCTCCCCATCATTGCCACTAATAGCCCTGTGAAATCAACTTAAGATTACCCAAAGTATTTAATCATAAGGATTAAAAGATTCAACAGTCCCAAGTTTTGTGACACCACTCAAAGTAGAAAAAAGGCATCTCCGTCATGAATGTTCCAGAATTTCAGACGTTTGTTCCCATTGACCTCGCTGGCTTTATCAGCTGTATTATATTTTAATAATATTTTTAAATGCATGTTAATGTGTTTCTTTAGAAAATTTATGTTTAATATCTGTTATATTAGATGTTAGATTGATTGTTTTATGTTGTTATATTGGAAATAGCATTAAATAGCATGAAATGTTTGCCATCTTTTGTTGTAATTGGTCCCGGGGAGAGAGGGCAGAATATAAATAATAATAATAATAATAATAATAATAATAATAATAATAATAATAATGCTGAGGAATCTCTTTCTATTAACCTGATAGACATTTGCAATCTACTAGGGAGGGCCATCTCTCTGTCCAGGAGAGGGCCTTTTTGGTGGCTGCTCCTAGAATGAGGAACTCCCTTTCAAGAGATACCAGGATGTCCCCATCCCTGCTGGCATTCTGCAGGCAGGTTAAGACCTCCTTCTGCCAGCCAGCATTTGAGGAAGGATTAGGGGCATGCTTTGGGAAGCTTGTGGGTGGGATGGGGTAAGATGGACTGTTAGTTTTAAAGGCTATTTTAAGTGTATTTATTGTATTTTAATCCGTTTTTGCCACACTGTACTGATTAATTATTTTTAACTTTTGTATTGTGCTTTTTAAACTGGAATAACATGCGGAATTGTTAGCCTCCTTGAGTCCCAACAGGGAGAAAAGCAGGGTATGAATAAAGTTAATTATAATTATAATTATAATTATATACAATTCTAGGGTGTCTATAAATACAACCCCACCCCTGCACTCATACATTAACAGCCATGTTGTTGTATGTTTTAGATTGGAGCATCTTTAATGTCAAGCAATGTGGGGAGTGGACTTTTTATCGGCCTGGCAGGAACAGGTGCTGCAGGAGGCCTTGCTGTTGGAGGATTTGAATGGAACGTAAGGTTGTTTTCCTCAATTCTATCTGCTCTTTCCAAGTAATTTTTGGTTTTGGCTTTAGTTGTGTCAGTGGATTATTTGAGATTATCAAATATCTAAGTCTTAATGTAACACACCCACCAGCTTTACACAAAGTAACACTAACATGTAGCCAAGCAACATCAGTCTGCAAACAAAATGTCAAAGGTTAGAATGGTATCACATTCGTATTTTAAATTTAGTATAAATACCAAATATTTAGCATTCTTCTGGTGTCTCTCTAAGCTACAAGTCTCAGGATTCCATAGCACTGAGCCATGCCAGTTAAAGTGGTGTCAATATGCATTAGGTCTACAGTGTACAATAAACCCCATGACATTTTACAACCATTTAAAAATACAGATGACAAAAGACTGATTTGTACAATCTCTACCATATCTGGACAGTTAGGGGATGCAATTTGTAATGCATAGTTGACTTCAGCAGAATAATTCGTAAGCATGTGTGCTACAATACACTGTAAATGGCACTTATTTTAGAGTCCATTCTCTGAGTCCAAGCAGCAATCTGTCACACTCTCAAACATACGTTGTATTTTGTTTTTTGAAGTTTCAGTTTATAGTTTAGAAAAGAATGGAAATTAGCTTTGGATGATACTTCAAAGGCATTAATCTCAAAAACTAGTAAAGGACATTTCATTCCCCCAGGATCACATAACTTTACAGAATCTACACAGAACTGGACCTATAATGTAGGCATTCTACAATATCGTCATCTGTGGCATTTTAAAAAGTGTCTCCAAATTGTTACTACTTGCACATAACACTGTTTTTCTATAAACAATTAAGCAAAACATACAAACAAACAAAATGTTGGGACAACAAATGAGTGTAGACATATTGATTTTTGTACTACATTCTTAATTTTCTCCCAGCCAATTAATATGTTGGGCCAAAATAAAAAGCTCCATGTAATTTTTCAGTAAAGCATGATGGAGCAAAGTGTGGGCTTCTAATATCATAGCTGAACAGAGTGCCAACTTGTATTTCTAAATACTCAATTGAAGTTTTATGATCTCATCAGATGGACTGATTTACCCATCATATGCCACTTCTTCCCTTCTTTCACCACAGTGCCCTTCCCATGATGCACATCAACTTCCAGCCAGGCTGTGTGGTGGAAAAGAAGCAGTGCATGCCGCTGTTGTAGCAACACAGGGAAAGATTTTTATTGGAGGTGGCAATGACCTCTATTCACCTCCTCATCACTGTACCCATGGAGAGAATAGTTCTCAACCCCTTAGCAGATTTTTATTCCTAAAGCAAAAGCAAGTCGCTACTTAAAAACTAGAAGGGAATTCTTCTTGAGCTAGCATTTTAAAACATATTGACCACGAGCGTATGACAAATCCCGGTCAAATTATGTTATTTCAGTGCAATAGTTTCATCAGAATGTCAGAACTGTGACCTCTCTTGCCTCTGTAGTTGCGCAAGTAAAGTTGAAGGTGTTAACTTTGTGTGAATATTGTTTGAAGCATGACCATTCCACTTCTTGACTAGTTATTGTTTCTTGCAGTGACGGTGTTTCACTCATGATCCAATCCTACAGAGATCCTAAGGGATGCATGAACTTCTCAGATGCCAAAAATCTGAAGCTCTGCTGTCACAAAGATGCATGATTTTTCTTGGTGTTAAAGGTCACCAAGAATACATTTCCTGATGCAGTAAAGTGCACTCTGGCTAGAATAACAATGAAACAGAGTTGGATTCTAGTATGTAGAAGTTAATGAATGAAAAAGGGTCTCCAAGAGCTAAGAACATTATTATTTGTAAGTCGGGTTCACCTTCCAACAGCTTGATCCCATTGCTTAGCCTGAAATGTACTCATGCAAGTTAGCATGTTTAATGTTGCAAAGGATGAACCAATGACACCCTGCAGCTTAAAGGAGAGCAGGAATTAAAACTCATTTCCCACAATGACGGCTGATGGCTTTTATGCCAGGGGATGACAAAGCTGCTCTAAATTTTAGTCAAACATTAAAAGGGCTATCCAATGTGCAAAACCTTTATGAGGGTACAGTTTAGCACAATGGATATCTCCTTTATTGCATTTACTGCCTCCCTACTGTAAGACTACCAGCCACTCCTGCTCCTAGCAAATCATGGTAAAGGCATTCAAAGCCAGTTGGAGGCAGAAAATCCCTTAAGTATCTCTTAATTCTAAATACCTTAAGGCAGTGGTTCTCAACCTGTTGGCCTGCAACCCCCAGAAATCCCAGCCAGTTTACCAACTGTTAGGATTTCTGGAAGTTGAAGGCCAAAGCATCTGGGAATCACAGGTTGAAAACCACTGCTCTAAGGGTACCAGATCTATCTAATTTTGGAATTAGATTAGTGTTTGGATAGGAGACACTAAATGACAGGTGCTGTAAGTGACATTTCAGAAGAAGGAACTGGCAAAATCACCTCTGAGTGTTCCTTGTCTAAGAAAAAACCCTGCAAAATTCATGAAGTCTCCCAGGTCAATAACCTGAATAATAATAATAATAACAATAATAATAATAATAATAATAATAATAATAATAATAATAATAATAGGCATAACACTATTGCTCAGATGATTCATTGGAACTTGTGCCACAAATACCATCTGCCTGTGACAAAGAATTGGTGGGATCACAAGCCGGAAAAAGTTACAGAGAATGAACACGTCAAGCTACTCTGGGACTTCCAAATTCAGACAGACAGAGTTTTGGAGCACAATACTCCTGACCTCACAATCGTGTTAAAAAACAAAGTATGGATTGTCGATGTTGCAATCCCAGGTGACAGCTGGATTGCAGAGAAACAACTACAAAAGCTGACACGATACAAGGATTTAAAAATCGAACTGCAAAGACTCTGGCACAAGCCAGTCAAGGTGGTCCCAGTGGTGATCGGCACACTGGGTGCAGTGCCTAAAGACTTTGGCCTGCATTTAAACACAATCAGTGCTGACAAAATTACCATCTGCCAACTGCAGAAGGCCACCTTACTGGGATTTGGACACATTATTCACCAATACATCACACAGTTCTAGACACTTGGAAAGTGTGATCCACTACAACAGCCAGCAGAGTGTCTGCTGTGGACTCATCTTGTTGCATTTCAAATAATAATAATAATACTTTTTTTATATTCCACCCTATCTCCCCAAGGGGACTCAGGGCAGATTCCAACATACAAAAAGCAAACATTCAATGCCTCAATAAAACAAACAAATGTTAGCGAATAACCCAAATAATTCTACATATGTAAACAAAGAAGGCACATTCACCTCTGTATCTCCATGGCACCAACAATACAACAACAATAAATTACTTATGAACTATTTATTTCTTTGTAGGGTATCCCAAATGGGCTGCCTAAGGTAGCTCCACCATTGTTGCCAGTTGCGGTGTTAAATACCTCTGTCCAGCAAGCAGGCTAGAGTCAAATTTGTTAGATGTCTCCTTATGTTTATCAACTTTGGTTTATGTATAGTTTTGCTTTTGTTCAGAACAGTTGACTGTTATCAAAGCCCATAAGATGGCCACATAGGGTTTTAGCCAGTCTTCATGCATGTCTTTATGTACCATAGATGTTTCATAACCATAAATGCACTGCAATTTCCTTAAAAACATAACCATGTATTTAAGGGAGATGGTACCAAAAATTGATAAGAGGAAAGGTTTTTTGTAGTGGTGTGGATCTACACAAAAGGAAACTGTATTTTAAGAGCATGAGGAATTGTACTTTGGTGCTAGATTGCCTATACTGACTTTGTACAAGACCAAGCCTGCCATTTTCCAGAATGAAGTGGCAGATGCATAAAATAGAATGGTGCATACCTGGTCAGCATCTTACAAGCTATCATGATATCCTTGTTGTTCATTTGTTCAGTCATTTCCTACTCTTCATGACCTCATAGACCAGCCCACGCCAGAGCTCCCTGTGGGCCATCACCACCCCCAGCTTCTTCAAGGTCAATCCAGTCACTCCAAGGATGCTGTCCATCCATCTTGCCCTTGGTCTGCCCCTCTTCCTTTTTCCTTCCATTTTCCTCAGCATCGTTGTCTTCTCTAAGCTTTCCTTTCTTCTCACGATGTGGCCAAAGTACTTCACCTTTGCCTCTAATATCCTTCCCTCCAATGAGCAGTCAGGCTTTATTTCCTGAAGTATGGACTGGTTGGATCTTCTCGCAGTCCAAGGCACTCTCAGAACTTTCCTCCAGCATGATATCCTTAGGTGTGGTTAAAGATGTTGCCCTGTCATCAGTGCAGGGGTAAAACTGGGCTGCCAGTCTGATATTCTTCATGTGTGGAAGAAGAAAAGTGCCATTTTGTCCTTTGCCTCAGGCATCAAAAGCTTGGGCCAACTATGTTCCTGTACTGAACTTAAAATCCCCAAGATGGGGCCAGTGCAGCTGAGACGCCACACATTAGTGAATTCAATAGTTTTGACCTGTTTTATTGTCTGGTTTCTCCCACTAGTAATTATCTGTCCTTTTTCTCAGGTATCTGAAAACCAAGTGTCTACATGGCATATTTGATATTTACCTCCCAATTCCATAAAGATACTGTCAATTTTGCTACACCAATATCACTATTGCTTTCAAAGAAACAATTGTATGGACTGTACAGACTCTACAAATGTATGTTTTTTCTTATTCCTTTCAAGGCCACCTGGGCATTATTGATCCTTGGTTGGATCTTTGTGCCAGTTTACATCTCTTCCGGGGTAATCACCATGCCTGAATATCTGAGGAAAAGATTTGGAGGGCAGAGGATTCAGATCTACCTATCTATACTGTCCCTTATTCTGTACATATTCACCAAAATATCAGTATGTATTCCTGAGAAATATAACCATTTGTTCTTGAGTGAGTATTCCCAGAGAAGTAAAGAACATTAATTTGGAAGAATCATTCTTATACCCATGAAACATTTCCACCATACACTGCAGCATTTCAGACACCAGCTTTCAGGGTTGACTTTAGGCTTGAGGGAATCTCCCCATTAGCAAAATATCCCATGGCTAGTCATCTCCATTATCATTTGGTGTGAAAAACGATGGGCCCATTAGCAGAAAGTTGGCCTCACTACCCTATCAATCAGAGCTCAGAAAAGATAATGTTTGGGACTATGATTTCCTAGATTCTCCTACAAAACTAGTGACTAGATAGTCTGGTCAAAAACAATGGATTGACCTGGGTGCTAAAGTTCAAAAAGCATGTTTTCAATCATCTGATTTTAATACTTTTGCAATCCTCACTATTACTTCAGAAATGTGTTGCTATCCTGATGTAGTAAGACCATGAAACTGATAGTGCCAGGTTGGAGGGAAGAAAAATTAAAGGGGTCTTGGGACTAGGTATTAGCAATGAGTCCTACTAGATGCTTGGTACCTGGTACCTGCTCAAGGAGATCAGGTCACCATACTGTTTTGTGTTAACATTTATCAAAACGTGTATAAATTACGACCACAGCATTTCTGATGAGTTTGATGACTTAAAGTGTTTTTTTTTACAAAGACAACTGGTTCAAACTAGCAAATCTCTTTTTTGCATTTGTCCCAGACAGATATTTTCTCTGGTGCACTTTTTATTCAAGTCTCCCTGGGTTGGGATCTTTACCTCTCTACAATCATCTTGTTAGCAGTGACAGCTGTCTACACTATCGCAGGTAACTATTCTTTCTTAACAACATTGCCTTTTTATGAAAACATGGTATTCAAGGTGGCTAGTGAAGATGCAGTACAAGCATACACAAAACACAATACCTCAACAAATGTCTATTGAAAAATGACTCTCCCCTGAGATGAAGCAAGTTGCCACAAAATTAACTTGAAGCAAAACTAGCCACAGTCCCAAAAAATCATGTGTATGCATGATGCAATTTCTGCTTGTACATTGTACCAACAAGATATCATCCAATTTACCAGCTGTGCTAATTCCTTGATAAGCCAAATCTTGCTATAATGACACATGCCTTGATTAAATCCTTTTTGGATTTTGCTCTGCTATATGAATCGATAGGGATTCAGGGCTCTGCGTTTTCTCTCAACCTGGCTTGTCTGATGGGGGTTTCTGTGGATAAAATAATGAAAAGTAGAGCCTCAGATCTTATGTTCATAGAGGAAAACACAACATATATATGCAATAAGTAAACAAAATAATAAAAATGTACCCTTGGGTCATTTTTTCATAACACGAAAATTGAAATAATTTCTTCATCCATTGTGAAGCCATTGCTTACAGAAAAGGGTGAGGAAAACTCTCCCGAATTCTGAAGACATGAAGAGTGATTCAATATTTTGTCATCCTTTGCACAGGTGGTTTAACTGCAGTAATATACACAGATGCTCTGCAAACTGTGATCATGGTGATCGGAGCTTTGATTCTTATGTTTATAGGTAAGGAGCAGGGAAATGTGGAGGAGGAATTGCTTTCTTTAGTTAACAAAATGAGGCGTCCCAAGCCATATATATAGCTGGATTAATGCTATATATATATGGCTTGAAGAAATAGAATGGAGACATGAGAAATGGAGACATAAGGAATTATTCAGATATTGCAGAGTCAGGGCCATGGCTTCCTCATCCCAGGGTTTCCATGGTAAAATACATTCAAATGGGGTTTACTGTCCCTCCTTCAGCCTAATACTAACAAGCAGTAGCTATGGGGCCATTGCAGTTATATCTGAGAGATCCTATGCCAGTCTCACTCTGCACTAATACTGCTGCCCAGACAATATTTGGCACAGTTAGCCTGACTACTGAGCAAAGGCCTGTCTGATATGGGAACCCCTACCACAGCACTGTTACCATCAGTGTAGTCTCTTGTCTCATAGGACCATGTAATCCTATTATCAAATGAAGGTAGAGACTCAACATCTTCACACAGGGCTAAATTCGGCAACATGCTCAATTTAGCCCCAGTCACCCACTGAGCTGGCCAGCTCCCATCAGATGACGCCTATGCAGCTCCATGAGTGAAGGAGGGTACAGCTGGTGTATGTCGCCACCAGGGCATCCTTGTTGCCATTGGAATGCATGGGGGGGGGGGCAAGCCGCACGCTCACACTTTCTCCCCTCTGATTGCCCTTGGCTGGAGCTGGGTGATGTGGGGCATGGGGTGCTGGATTCCTCACACCCCTCTATGAAGCAGAGCACCCCCCGGTGGCCATCTGATGAAGTTTACTTGTTCTGTTTTCTCAGTAGACTGACTGAAAGTGCACTGGAAGCAATGTAGTACTTCAACTTCAGAGAACTTTGTCTTATCAGTTGGAAGCTATATAAAAGAAATTCTCATTTTATTATAACTTGCAGTTGTTATAGATTTAGATATCATTCACAATAGTGATTCAGATACTTGCCTCCTTTATTTCTACTAAATAATTTGTATGTCTTAATTTATCATTAAAATATTACAAATTAGAATCAGGTTACATATTTTTTGAATATTGGAAATATTTCTAAAAATATTTCTTAAAGCAAAGTTGTTAAACAGAAAACAATTTTTCCCTAAAAGGTAAGGGGTTTTATACATTAATAGTAGAAAGCAAGATAACAGACTGTATCAAACAACAGAAATGTATCCCATGCTGAATGGGGGACATGAATGGAGAATTGGATCCAACTAGGACTGTGCTAGAGGCAAAGGCTTAAAATCAGGCCATGGTCCTTTACCCACTATTTATTATATACAAATCAGCCATGCAAAGACATTCCATATGACAAATGTCACATCTAGTTTGTTATCGGGAAAAGGTTGGAGAAGGAGCAGAGATCACATCTCTGGAGTAATGGATGGATAGATGCATGGATTACTGAACATTGATTACAGCCCCTCCCATCCTCCTCCTCCTCTCTCTCTCTCTCTCTCTCTCCACCTCCCTCTCTCCCCGTCCCCTCTCTTTTAAGGCTTTGAGAAGGTTGGATGGTATGAAGGATTGCAAGAGAAATATAGCAAAGCAGTACCTAGTATCATTGTCCCAAATACAACCTGTCATTTGCCACGGGAAGATGCTTTTCATCTGATGAGAGATCCTGTCACAGGGGATATTCCCTGGCCTGGGCTTGTGTTTGGCCTTTCAGTGCTTGCTCTTTGGTGCTGGTGCACAGATCAGGTAAATTTGAAATCTTAGCCTTTATTTTCTTGTAAGTGAGTAGTTTGAGTTCCCTGTCTTTCTTTTTAGTGTTAGATTTCTCATTCTCCTCCACGGGGAATTTTTAGGGATGGATACTGTTACAGGAATAGCACTATGTTTGAACTGAGAAATCACTGGACTTTTCAGTAAATATATGTGATCATGACATAAAGTCTGCCTTAATTATATACCACACTGAAAAATAAAATTATGATAGATAGGCACAGGTTAAATGTGGAAATTTAGTCTTAGTTCGAAGCTATATGGTTTTCAATTTAAATACTTTAACTGGATTGGGTATATATGAATAGGCTAAACCTTATTCTTAGTCTGGTCTAGAGTAAAATTGTTAAAACAATTGGATTTACCTCAATGTTGCCCCATTATTCAACAACAAACTTCGTGAATCTACTTGGAACTTACAAGATTCTAACCTATATATTTATTAGACAGATATCTTATTTTAATTTTAAACACTTCAGTTCTCTTATATTCTCGAAATTCTATACAGCTGTATAGATTATGTCTCAACAACTAGACTGAAATTGCTCTTGGTTCACTTTGCTTCTTTACCCCCAAAAATCACAGTACAAAGACGGTTTCTTTCTAGTCGGTTCTCCTTTCAGGTAATTGTGCAGAGGTCGCTCTCAGCCAAGAACCTTTCTCATGCTAAAGGCGGATCAGTGCTGGGTGGATATTTGAAAATCTTCCCAATGTTTTTCATTGTTATGCCAGGCATGATCAGCAGAGCTCTCTTCCCAGGTAACCTACTTCTGGCGTTGTAAAAATGTCAATATAGATAAATGACTATTTCCACGGGGAGCCCAGTACTAACTTTCAATTTATTGAAAGGTAGAGGTTTCAGATTGCACTTTCTTCCCCTTCCCTTCCTTCCAGTCCTTCTCAGCTCCAGGGATTTTTAAAGCTGTCAGAGTAAGATTTTGGTGTGCATGATGAGCTGCATTGACGAAGGAAGTTCAGCCCTCCTGCTTCTGATAACAGAAGCTGTTATATCGGTGGATGTATCTCACTAGACCACAGCCAATGAAACTACTTAAGCTATCAACCAGCAGTGGGTTGAAGCAAACTTTACTGCACCCCATCTAATCCATATATATTCATTTAATTGTAATGATGTGAAATGTGGGTGGCTACATTGTTGTACATTCCACATGTGGACCAATGTCTTTTGGCTTGCACATACCTCTCTCTAAACTTAGAAGCAACTACCACAGGGCAAACAGAAGGTTGGAATGTTTAGGTGTTGCTGAACTGCAATTGCTATCGGCCAATGTTGAGGAATCATGGTAGTTGCAGTTTCAACAGCATCTTGGGTACCATACTTTCCCCAGTACCACAGTAAACAGTTATAGTCATAGGGCAGAATCATGTATGGCAGCTACAAATGCATAACCTGGAGTTATGCAGTCATGATTGTTAGTATATTCATAATTCCTTCAAAGTCCATAGTTTAGGGGACATGTAAGGACCATATGTTGGTTCAATCCTCACTTGCCAGGAAGCAGATGCAGCATTCGAAGGGAGACTGTTCCCCTGTCCATTGGGAAGCAGCTGGTTGATGGCATCAGCCACTCACTTTCATGCGTGGCACAAGGGAGAATTGTGGCAAAAATCCTGTTTCTGTCTGTTGTACCAAAACTCAATCATGGGAGTGGGTGGAAACAGCATTTAGCTTCTTCTCAAATAGGTGGGGAACAGACTTTCCATCAATTGCAGTGGCTGCTGCCCAGTAAGTGGGAATGAGAGGGTGGTTTATAGAATTCACTGGATAGTACTAAGGTGTTTAAACATATGTCATTGGCATCCTGTTGATAGCTGTAAATCTGACTGGCACATTACAACATAATCTTAGGAGGTCCCAAAGGATGGTAGCGTTGTCAAGGAGTTGGCTGTGGGAATATAGCCAGACAGCTATATGTTGCCCCTGCTCTTCCCAGACCACCAAATGCCTGTGTTGGAGGTTCCCAGCACAGGAAGTTCTCCATGTTAAGAGAGGAGGATAGGTAGAGGTTCATCTGGGGGAACATTGCATTCTACCATATAATGCTGAATCTTATCTATTGTCAGATAGTAGGTAGGGCAAACAAGGATAGGAGGTAAGGTTGTGTTGAAGACTGATCATGTGAAGTCACATTAGCAAAGTGGCAACATAGCATTATTGTAATGAGGCGATTGTTCCATTAATGGTCTGTTTCTTCTTGCTTAAAAACATTATTTCCATGAGACAAAAGGCTAGTATGATAAAGTCCATACTCTGAAAGGATATTTGTGATAATTGATTGTATTATAAAGGCCAACTACTGTCTTTATGTTTCGTGTCTAACCACATCCTAGATATTTTGTTACTTAAACACTTGCAGCAAATATGTACCATCATCCCCATCTTCCTTCCATAATAACAAAGTATAAACACTGGCATAATGAAATATTATGCTGGCATACATCACCAATAGCATTTGGGCCACAACTGTATTTATATGCTACAGATGAGGTGGGCTGTGTCCACCCAAAAATCTGCAAGGACATCTGTGGAGCTAAAGTGGGCTGTTCAAACATTGCTTACCCTAAGCTGGTGATGGAACTCATGCCTGTAGGTAAGACCATTTTTCTTTGGAACCTAGAATGGGCTTGGTCAATGCTACTTTGATGATTGATGCTAACTAGATATTGGTTGATTGATCTATTTCTTAGGCCTCCGTGGTTTGATGATTGCTGTGATGATGGCTGCCTTGATGAGTTCTCTCACCTCGATATTTAACAGCAGCAGCACACTTTTTGCCATTGATATCTGGCAGCGACTCCGCAAGAAGGCCACTGAGCAGGAACTCATGATTGTTGGCAGGTCCTTATTTCTTTCCTATGACTTTATTTGCTTATTTGAATCACTCATGAATTGCCCCAGTGCAACATAGGTTACACAGTCCTTAGTGCACTCAGCTGGCATTATGCAATGGTGCATCAAATTCAACTACATTTCTGTAAAGATTACATAGGCTCAATTGTGAGCATTGCATTACTTGGACCTACTTGTATGCACCAGTCCTACTAATATCCTGTTGAAGCCCAAACAATCCAGAAATTGTGACAAGACTTCAAAGTACTATAAAAACCAGGGGGAACTTGCATTAAATTAAGTCATGCGGAGCATATATCCCATTCTTAACCAGAGCAGAGAGTTCAGCTTCAGATAAGGATAGCTGCATATGAACTACCAGGTCTCTGATCCACATTACTAAACCTGATGACAATCCATATTTGAATGGACAAGGACACACACCCTTGTCTTACAAAGCTGGTGCCTTGTTACCACCACACACATTTCCACAGTGTGTGCCGCTGGATGTGGACCATTACCTACTTCAAAGATTGCGCTGCTCCTATCAATGACTTCAGTAGGTTTCAACATTTGAGACTAGATTTAGGGGATTTCTTTCTCTTTTTTGTAATTTCAGGGGATTAATTACAAATACAGCACCCCTGCCCCCCTACCCCCCACACACAAACCTAAACACCCGGCACACCGCCAGAAATTGATGAGAGAAAGAGAAGCGGAAGAAAGAATTGGACTCCACTTACCAAAGCCCCTGCAAAAAAAAAAGAAGATGTAAGATGTACCAGACACATTCTGGGACATTAGCACTGTTTTCTCCCGTTTTAGCAAAGTAGCCAATGTGGGAGAGGAAAATCCTTTCCTTGCCCTCTGTGAATCTTTTCTATTCTCTGGACTGAACATAGGCAGAGGCTCTGCTATTGCCCTTGTGGACTATTTCCAGGGTGTCCACTCCACTGTGCACTGCCACTACTGGGCTCTGGATATATGACTAACCACCATTCCCCAAAGACAAAGGGTGGCATAAAATGTTGGATTTTGGAGTATTTCACATTTCAGACATTGTGATAAGGAAGACTCAGTCTGTACCATATTTACAGATCTCTCTATCTGATCTTTAACTACACATTTGCTGAGTTTCCCCAAAAACCTATCAATTTGTGTAGTGATTATTTCCCCCTTTACATAGTTTCATTGAAAAAAATAGATTTTTTTCAAGTTGTGCAGAAGTAATTACCTGTGTTCTGCTCTCCAGGGTGTTTGTTCTAATCCTTGTTGCCATTAGCATTCTCTGGATCCCTATCATCCAGACAGCCAACAGTGGTCAGCTCTTTGACTACATTCAGTCAATAACCAGTTACCTAGCGCCACCCATCACTGCACTCTTCATCCTAGCAGTCTTCTGCAAGAGGATCAATGAGCCAGTAAGTACAGAATCAATGAAGACGTTCCTGTGAATAATAGCATCTCCCAAATGTCATCGTTTCATAGTTTTAAGAGCAGACAAGACCTTTCATTACAGTACTATTGACTATTTTCTCTTGAATGCAACATCTGTGGAATTTAGCCCCCATTAGGATACAGCATCTATTTAGAAAGATTCTTAGGACTTTGATTACTGGTTTAACAGAAAGTAGTGATATGACACAGGAAGCTAGCAGGAGGAGGAGGAAGGAACTCCAAAACAAATAGCCAACACTTACTCCCAATCTTCTCCACCTCCCTTTGCAAACAATCAAAAACATAATTCTTATTCTAAGACAGAATTTCTCTAATTTTATTCTTCCAGGCATCAAATCTCCTTTGGTCTGATACTTCAAAAGGGCAGTCGTATATAATTATGAGAGAGATCTAATCACAGGAGTCAAATCATTTTTCATGGGCATCATTTTGGCAAATGTAATAAATATTGTGATCTCCTTCATGTTTTATAACAAGGGAAGTTCCTTGTTCCTCAAAATGACACAAGTAAATGTCATCTTACTTTTCTCTGGCCCCTAAACCTTAATGCACAGGAGATGATGCATTTTCTTTCTTTTTTTCTTTTTAAAGATCATACTCATAGGCCACAGAACAACCACTAATTTGACCAACACATTTTACATCTTTGCCTCTAGGTCAAGCATGGGCAAACTTCAGCCCTCCGGGTATTTTGGACTTCAACTCTCACAATTCCTAACAGCTGGTAAACTGGCTGGGATTTCTGGGGGTTGAAGTCCAAAACTTCTGCAGAACCAAAGTTTGCCCGTGCCTTCTCTAGGTTATACAACTATTCAATCCCAGATCCAAACATAGCACAAGAACAATAAGAAACTTCCCAATTGGAAGGTGAAATAACATCACAATATGAAATCTTTATTCTAAACTACCTCTGAGTGTTCCCTGCCTTAGCAGTTTGCTCAGAAAAGGTTTGCTTTTGCTTTCCTCTGAGGCTAAGAGAATATGACTTGCCCAAGATACCCAGTGGGTTTCTATGGTCCCAGTGTCCTAATCCAAGACCAAAATCACTAGACTATACTAGACTGGCTCATATTCTGTGTCAATATTAGATATAAATATCATGTATTTTACATACATAAAATGATACGTTCATTCCTCATTTTCCAAGGCAGGAGTGTTGTACATTATCCAGATGAAACACAGCCTCCTCCTTAAAACATATAGTTCTGCCTATTTGATCCTTGTGACTTAGTATGACCAGTAGGTTGACACATTAGCACACATTCTCTAGCTCAGCATTGTTCCATTGCTGTTTCGGTTGCATTCTGTAACTCCACCTTCTTTGTGAAATGTACCATATGTGTAGGAGACAAATTTATTTCCTCCTTAATAAGTACTCGTCCTATTAATGTTCCTGGAGAGACTGATGATAATTAAGTAGTCAGGAAAAACGTTAGCACTTCATGCTTGGCAAAATTGATGCTATTCATTTTTTATTCCAGCAGTACATGCCATTATATCAATATGACTTTAAGGTGGATCAGCCAAATACCTAATGGTCAGGGAATATATTTTAATTAAACAGTATGATCCCTGTACCCTTTGGAACCAGTGCCTGCGGTCTCACCTATCTGTATCCAATAAAATTTTCCAGGTCCTCATATAATTCTATAATAACTTCCAGAGGAAATCATTTATTTCAATTGTGTCCACTATTATCCACAATTTCCTGTTTCCATGATATGTTCAGGACCATATCCTCACTGAGATCATATTCTAATTAGTTTCCATCTCTTCCTCTATTGAAGGCAAACAAATATACTCAATGAGACATTGTTTTGATCAACTCTGTAAATACATTGGTATTTTCCAGGTTCATTTCATCACATCTCTCTTCTTACACTTTCTTCCTAGGGTGCTTTTTGGGGTCTGGTGTTTGGTTTAGTTGTTGGTATTGTTCGAATGGTTATGGAGTTTATCTACATGACACCTTCTTGTGGTGAGGAAGACCAAAGGCCAGCTGTGATGAAAAATGTCCATTATCTGTACTTTGCTATCATCCTGTGTGTGCTCACAGCAGTTGTTATTGTCTGTGTTAGCCTCTGCACACCACCAATCCCAGAGGAAAATGTAAGTGGCTTTTATTTTTAAAATACTGTCTACTTGCTTTGTTTTACAAGTGTGATCTCCCCCAATGGGGGTAACTCTAAAAGTTTCAGGCTACAACTCCCATCAGCCATGGCTTGTGATCAATATCTAGAAGGAATGGGTTTCCCTGGGGGGTATTGCATCCTAGTACTACAGTAAACTAGGTTGACCTACAAATAAACTGTTCCCACAGATTCTCTTGCTTCACAGGTATTATAGAGTTAAAATATTTCTCTAGGTTCAGTAAGCCCTGCAAAAGGAGAGCAGGCTGGCTTCCATGCTGTGAGGACACTACAATGCTTCCTATCAAGGAGACAGTGGGGAAGAAATCATATTACAGTAGGCTGCTGAGGAGAGCATGTAATGGCTCTAATAGAACCCTCTTTCGTGTTTCAGCTGAGACTGCATCAATCTTGCAAGTTAAAGACATTAATATTGTTGAAGCCCTGCATTTAGAGAGAGCATTCCATCCCAGAGTGATCTCAATTACATTGAGCAACCGAGCTTTGGTAGCCAAGAACTTTATTTCATTTGCTGCATAAAACAGGCAAAAGAAAGTTTGAGTTAGTCAATTACTTCAAGAGATGCATTGGATACTTTCTCAATCATATATTTCCTTTAGTCAAATCAGGGGACCATAGTGTTTGGTTAAACCTGGAATGAATCTTTTCCTATGTATTTAGATGTGTGTTTTCAGAATGAGTTTAGGATGCTTAAAAGAGTTAATTCAGCCCAACTGAAATAACCAAATAGGTATTCTGAGAATCTATCCAGTGGATCCATATAACATTTGTCAGGTGATGAAACAAGTTGTGTTATTTATTTATTCATACTGAACATACAGCTGAGTCTATACAACACACTTTTTTACTATATATTACAGGATTGGAGTTATATTGTGAACATTGGCCCCTTATACTCTGCCAGCGAATCCAGGTTATCACAGCAGAAAATCCACATTGTCTGATTTGAATTGGGTTATCTTTGTCTGTATTGCCAATTACCCAGTTCAAAGGAGATAATGTAGATTTTATACAGCTGTATGGAAAGGGCCTAAGAAGGCAAGCAAATAAAAAAACTTGTTCAATATTTTGATTTTTTTTTTAAGTTTTGTTTGTATGCCACACAGTGTCTATTATTGAAGAAACTGGTTGAATCACAGTACACAACCCACTGCTTCACTATAATTGTTTCCACATGTTGTTACATTCAAGTTAGCATGGGTGACTGAACAGAATACTGTATGACCCCTGTAGTTATGGGGGATATATTCCAAGACATTGCTCCATCGATGCCTAAGACCAAAGCATATATTTTGATTATACTTGGGCTGGAAACATACTATCAAATCATACTGGAGGACTTAAATAGGCCCACAGAGAATTCTGGAGGCAGGGGAAGGGAATATGGCCAGTGATCTTGTTAGCTGATAGTTTCTGAGAACTGTAGTTGAAAAGAAAAACTTTTCCAAAGTGAAAACTTTGAATCAGCTGGACTTTGGCTCATTTGAATCATTTTTATTTGAGCTATGTCAGATCATATGTCTCAGTATTATATGCATTAACTGGGTTCAGTTTTTTAGGATTTCATGGAGGGATCTTCCAACCTCTATCTCAAGTTGCCAGGGACTGAATATAGGGCCTTCTCTGTGTACAGCACATGGGCTAAAACTTACCATCCTGTACTACTATTCTACTAAATGCAAGAAAATATGAAGAGCCTCTGAAATAAAAATAAGGATAATGTGCTCAGTTGATGTAAATGAATAATAGATCCTACTTGGCAACAGCGGTGGGTTAAGCATTCCTCCACCTGGTCCCCCACAGCTTTCCCAGATAACCTTGTTTCTGTGGAAATAGCAAAGACAGAAGGTGAAGGAGAGATTTGTATCTGATGTTTGAGTGGTAGCATTAATGCACCAAGCTTTAAATGAGTTACAGGCCAAGAACAGGAAGGGGAAGCATTTTCCCCTTCTGTTTTGGACACTCTCCCTTCCCTGTGGTGATGGATGCTGTGCCACAGAACAAATATGCAAAGAATTTGTTTAGTATGTCTCAGAGTTCATATGTCTTCATTGTACACAGTGAACATTGTGTCATGCCGTCCTTGAAAACTCTGCAAAGGAGCTTACAATTAAATTTGAGACTGTGAAGCTGAAATGCAACTGCCAGATGCCAGATGGCATTTTGGAAGAGAAGGATTTATTCTAGTTGTACTATGAAAAAAAGAGCTGGGGGAAGGGGACTTTCCTAGATCCTTACAAACTTTCTTTTAAAGACTGTCAGAAGAGGATGTGAGGAAACCAAAAGTGGCAGAGGAAGTTAGATCAAAAGACTATACTGTTTGATGAGGAGATGACAAGATGAAGTAGGCCATTAGTTTTCTACCAGGGCATTTTATGCCACATACAGTACATTGGTACAAACTCATTTCACCCAGTATACGCAGTCATCTTTGACATTGCCATCTGTGATGAATGACTATCATTTATTCCTTAGCATAAGCGACTGCCAGTTATAAGAATAGGTAGTTTATAAATGAAATGCATAATACTGAGAACTCCAGTTGCTAATGTGCGTGAAAGCTTTTGCAGCTATTACATGCATTGTGTTTTATTGACATTTCCTAACTGAAAAGATGAGAGTAAATTTCACTGAGCTCATAAATTTCCTTTTTGGATCACAGCTCAGTAACCATGGCAGCAAGCATGGTGACAGTGGATTTTGGGCTCTGCAGTCCAAAAGCCTACTTTCCTAAAGCCATGCACAAGCCTCATGTTAAATAGATTTCAGATCTTCATGCTAAATATGAAAGATCTAAGTAGAAGTCATGTGCACAGACTTGGGGGGTGGGGGAGAATCAGCGTGCACCCTTGTCCCACATTTTAGTCTTACACATGTGCAGTTAAATAGATGATCTAAAGCAGTGGTTTTCAACCTGTGGATCCCCAGGTGTTTTAGCCAACAACTCCCAGAAATCCCAGCCAGTTTACCAGCTGTTAGGATTTCTGGGAGTTGAAGCTCAAAATATCTAGAGACCCACAAGTTGGGAGCTACTGATCTAAAGAGAGGGAGTGACTAGTAAGTTGAAAATATCAGTGGATAACTTGTGCACATTCGTGTTTTAATATGTAAGACTGCATAAAGCCTCTTATATTGCTGTATCATCTTTATCAAATGCATTCCACCTTGGTTTGTATCCTCATGTCTTTTTTCCATGAACTCAAGCCATCTGCATCTCCCTTTTCTGAACCATATTCCTCCCATCTCCCCTTTTCATCAGTAAGGATAGCTGCAGCAACCCTGCCTGGAACTTGAGAGGTAATAGATGGGAGGACATGGAAACTTTAAGGGTGGACCATTATGGTATGCACACTTGGTGTAGGATCTTGACCAGAATCTCTCACCCTACTGTTCATGTTAACTGTGAGTTCTGGGATATGTCCACCATTGTACATGGTACTTTAAAAGTAAAAGAACAATAGAACAGTTCCCTGCCATCATGCATTGGGTAAGAGGTCCCAACAGAGAATATACTATCTGAAACTTCTAAGGAGCCAACAACTGCATGACAAACTGCTGATGACTTTCTACCGCTGTGCTATAAAGAGTGTCCTAAGCTACTGTATCTGTGTGTGGTTGGTAACTCCATGGTGGCAGACAGGAAGGTACTCCAAAGGGTCACCACTTCTGCATAGAGAATCATTGGTTGCCCTCTCCTTCTTTTTGGAATAACTTTATGGGTCCTGAAGCCTTAAGAAAGCTCAGAGCATTTTTGGGGATCCATCTCATCTGACACATTCTTTATTTTAAATATTGCCATTTGGCATATGGTACAGGGTGATAAAGGACCTCTTCACATGGGGCATTTTTGCCCCATTTTCCTGCTTTTAATCGTGGCAAGGACATCACATGACCCATGGCAGGCCCTGGCCACTTTCCTCCCAAAGTGAAGGAGAAGCTCCAAAAGGTATTTTTCCCTCCACTACAGGGAAGAAAGTGTAGTTCAGGTAGCTCCAATGGAGCTACTCACGCTTTCATCACCTTTTTGCCATGTGATGGCAGAAAGGGTGGCAGGGCAATGCGCGTTACCATCTTTTCTGCCATCTGATGAGAGGAGGTAAAGGTTGCTGAAGCACCCTCTCCTGCCACCTCCATGTGATGAGGGGAGGAGAACGGGCATGCAGGGCACCACGAGCCACTCCACGTACCTTCCCTTTTCCCGGTGATTGCCCAATAGCACGGCCCAAAAGGGCACGTGAAGAAGTCCAAAGAAAAGGACAAACAAACTGAGAGATAGCTTTTATCCTAGAGCTGTGGCTATGTTGAACTCCATGGTTTTGCATTGATGTGGCATTGGGGGCTGTGTGGTGGTGGTTGGGGTGTGGAGGGATGGGTGTGTTGTTTTGTGGTGTGTGCTGAAAACGACATTTAATGTTGTTGTTTAATAGCACAATGACAATAAAGTTATTATATTACACTCTAACAAGACATGCCACAATAAGAAAAAGAGAGAGCACTGTGAGAGGGCATTAGGTCTAGCAGATGCTGCCTCTTCTTCACTCCCTTCAAGATCAGGATAGTGTGGCTGGCATGGAAGGAATGCATTTCTTTTATTTCTGGAAATATTGGTAATGTTTCCAAGCTCTTGTTCAGAGACAGCATATGTTTGAATTATCAGTTGCTAGAAAACTGGAATCAGAGAGGACTTTTTGTCATTATGTCCTGCTTATGATCTTCCTTGAGGTATCTGGTTAGCCATTTTGGCCAGTCAAAGGAAAAGAGTACTGAAGTGGGTAAGCTTTTGTTCCACACACACCAAATAGAACTTGGTCATTATCCCAATTGCAATCTCCTTCTCCATGTATTCAAAACAGAGGCCTCTGAAGACATTAGCCTCCTAGCCCGTTTGGAACACTCAAAAAGAGTAAAAAGATTTGATGGAGTTATTTCACCAGAATTGGGTACTCACATTAAACAGGCCCAGGCAAAAGTGGCCAGCCGGAGTCGTGACCCACCAAAGGCTCCTATCAAAGGGTTGCCTCAGGGCCAGGGGGAACCACCCAATGAAAGGCCACAGCAGAGTCGAGGAGAATCAAATCCTGCAAAAGTGGTAAAGGGGGTGGAAGCCCATCAGGAAGTGCCTAAATCTTTGGTAGCCAAAGGAGGGTTATCTCCGGGGTTGTATTGGATTTGTGGCCAGTGGGCAGGAAAGATTTTGCCGCCTTTTTGGGAGGGTACGTGCACTATAGGTACCCTAATGCTAGCAGATGTGACAATATACACAGAACAACAATCCCAAATGACTTGGAGAAGGGAGCGTGAAGAACAACGTTTAAAAAGAGCTTATGATGAAGCACTTGGATATGACCCAGACCGAACTTATTTAAATGAAGGAGAAAGGCTGGGAGCCATCTTGTTCCCTGCTGTGGGCGTAGCTCTAAATATAAGACAGATTCGGAAACTCTCAGCTCAAGTGGAGAAGCTGGCAAACAAAACTGTGGCTGGAATAAGAGCTCTGCAGGCGGAAGTTGATTCCTTGGCAGGGGTCCTGATGCAACACAAACTTGCTTTGGATTACCTATTGTCTGTAGAAGGAAGACTATGTTCTTTTCTTAATACCACATGTTGCCACTATATCAACAAGTCAGGAGAGGTTGAATCTGATATAAATAAGATACAGGAAGTAGTATCTACCATCAGAACTGGATACGCCCCAAAGGGAGAGAGTGTTTTTGGCTGGTTAACTTCTTGGTTGCCGAATTTTCAATGGTTAAAAGACCTTATCATCATAGGATTTGTTATTTTGATAATTGGTATTCTAATCATGGTCCTACTACCTTGTGTGATTACTTGCTTAAGAAATATGATTGAAGGAATTGTCACTGCAGCTAATGTCCGACATGGAAAACAATTGAAACAAATTATGACTATGGAGATAGAAGAGATGCAGCAGTTATCCAGGGAAGATAAGGTGATATAATCACACTTAGGGTGTGACTCTGAAAAGTGAAAGTTTTCTTCGTCACAAGATTTTGTGGGGTATGTGGCAGTCATCAAGAAGAAAAATAATTAGAACCTAATGAAATTAATGAAGAAGTCTTACCTTAAAGGTTTTCTTAAGGTGCGGGGGTAGAATTCTGGTGGAAGGGAAATTGACAGATGGAACAGGACTGGGACAAGGCAGGAGAAACCATATCTTAAGTAAATAAATAGAAGGACGGCTATGTGCTAAATGTGGAAGGTCAGAGAATTGGCTCTAAAAGTAAATCGATAATTATTGATCCAAGAAAAACAAACATCTGAAGATATGGTACAACAGCGCCATCTATCCTCCATCTGATGTAAATAGCAGGTAATTCAGTCCTATGAACAATTCTACATAAGTAAGAATATAGGAAAATGATGTGAAAGTAATTACAGAAGAATTAATAAGGGAAATGCTTGCTTTGAATAAGTTAAAGATACACATATGAAGATGTATGGAGTCATATATATATGTGTGAAGAGATATATGAAGTTAAGATTCACTTTTATGTATCTCATCTGGGAATGTGTCTGGTCAGCTGATGAAAGGGGAGCAGTGGAAATTATAATATCTTGCCAAACAAGTGTTCTTGGCTGTGATTCCTCGAGGACAAACTGATATTGATTAGATTGTGTAAATGTCAAGAGAATTATGCGCATGTGCAAACTAAGTAATTCTGCCTATAAATACTGGATGCTTTTGGGGTAGTGCTCTGTGCCACATCAGCCATGTTGAAGCTGGGGCGCCCTTACCCGGGGTAAGCAATAAATTCTGTGAACTTGCAACAGCTGTCTCTGTCTCTTCCTTCTTCGCTGATCTCTCGGAATCTTGGAAAACGGGGACACACCCGTAACATATCATTAATGATTTCAAAGATTTAGACATTTGTCACAAGATAAGTGGTCAGGGTTTTAACTTCAGGTGGTCATTGCCACTTAGAAGATTCGATACTTTTCCTTTGCAGCCACTTTCTTCTCCTATGTAGTGTAGAATGTAGGTCAAAATAATAAATTAAAGGAGAAGGGGAAGAGGGGAGGGACAAGCAAGTAGCTCAAAAAGTTTTATCCTCTGTAGGTAACAACCTAGAAACCCTGGTTTGTGAGGAACAGGTATCCTCTGCATGCATGATAAAATATCTGTTAGGAGCCATGCCCACTGATCTCTTTCACTACCAAAAAAATCTGCATTTTATACTGCACTAGTCATTTAGACTGGTTTAAGGTTTCTAGCTTCATTTAAAACTATTCATTTAATCCTAATATGTACATCTTTCCCTTGACTCACCGACAACCATTCGTGCAAAGAAGGAAATGTCTCTTGGCTCTTTTTGTGTCCTCCAACTTCATTACATTCTAGTTAGATTTAATGAGTAACAAAAAAGCTCCCCTTAAAAGGATTCTTCAAGAAAGATGAGGATCATCAAATCAAAGCAATTTAGCAGAATGTGACAAGAAAGATTAGCCTTGCCTGATGCTCATCTTGGCTGAAAATAATTTAAATAAAGCTATAAATCTTCTGGAGATTATACAACTTTTTTGTGTCAGCTGGAAACTGACTTCTTGATTTTGTGCCTGAAATTCAACATATTAAAAGTACTGCTCATTTATAAGTGACCTTTAGAGAGTTACTTTCCAAGTAGACTAAAGAGGTAATAATATAGTAGCACCCCATTTCTACATTTTCCCCAAAAGTAGTTTGTGGAGGTCATAATTTGAAGCAGGAGAAGAATGGGGGGGGGGGGGMGTTCAACACAATAGAGAAAAGTTTTTTTTTCTCCAAAGCTGTAGGAAAAAAAAACAGAATAAAAAAGAGACAGCTGCAGAAATAAAATTAGTTCCTAAGGTGTTTTGAGGAAACTCTTTCCCAAGGGAAATCTGTAAAAAACAAAAGCAAAACAACACCACAGAACTCTACTCCCAAAAGACACAAAGGTATATAGTATAACAAATGAACACTACAAATGATAACCTGTTTCAAATTTTATAGTGTTTAACTATAATATAGCTGAAGCACACTGTATATAAACAGTTGTATGTAAAGCTGAAATCAACTAGATGGTTCATAAAAGCCTCTGGTATTCAATATTATTGCTATTTTCAAGTTGTTTCCAACTAATGGCGGACATAAGGCAACCCTATCACAAATCAGCTTGGCAAAAATTGTTCCAAGGTGGAGTGGCCTTTTTCTGAGGTTGTGAAACTGTGACTTGCCCAAATCACACAGTAGATTTTCATTATCGAGCAGGGAATTGAAACTGGGTTTCTAGAGTTGTAGTCCAATGTTCAAACCACAACATCATATCGGCTCTTATACTCAATATGTGTAATTATAAATTTAAAAACTATAAATTAATGTATACATTTTGTTAAAAAGATCAAAACCTCACACTATTTAAGAAAAACAATTGGGTCAGCTTTTCTCCTTTTCCTCACATGCTTAAAAAGTAATCAACCCACCACCATATATGCTATGTTTTTTCTAACCCAGCTGTCTCTATTAACTACAATCTGTCCAGATACCTAAAACATTGCATTTCCCATCTTATATCCTCACTTTAAATAGCAACATGGAACCAGGGACTTCCCTTTTATATTGTTTTATCCTTAATACTGAGGCATAATCCTTTTCTTTGGTTATGTTTATTGTTGTGACCAGTCCCGTAGCCAGGATTTCGATTCCGGGGGGGGGGGTGAGTTTGTTTTGGGGGGGGCTGAGTCTGAGTGAAACAGGGTCTACCCTAGCAAACCTTTTGTATCGTTACCCCAATACCCCCATGCATATGGGATATATTGAGTATGGTGATCAGATCATGATATGAATAAACATAACAGTTTAAATACTGCACCAGTAAGGCCTTTTCGCGAACCACCATGAGAATTTCGGGGGGGGGGGGGGGGAAGCCCCTCAAGCCCCCCCCCCCCGGCTACATGCCTGGTTGTGACCTTGGAAGATAGTGAACTCAATGGGACTGCCTTTCGAGTAAATAGGATTGTGTTCCACATATCTTTTCACTGCCAATAGCAGGAGGTCACATAATATGTGGGGTGAACCACTGTTGACTGTAATCTTGGCTAAACACATAGATAAGTCTCTTAGTCATTCTGCAACTCTCCCTTTTTTTTCTTATTTGCAATTATTCAGCTTGACCGATTGACTTGGTGGACTAGGAACAGCAAAACACCTGAACAAGATGTGGAGGACCACATCTGCCAAAGTGCAGGAATGACTTCCACTAAAAGAGAGAATGGTTTGGATACTGTGAAGACAGAGAATGGAGATTTAGTGTATACAGACCATAGTGGTATGTTGCTTGTTTTATTCTATCAGATATATATGTTTTGTGTGCCAATAAACAAAGAATTGATTTTCCATGGTGTGTCAAATCCAAGAAGAAGGTCTGCTGATACAATTGACCTGTAGTGAATGGAAAGCTCACAGGAGTGAAGTGATACTTCTGTTTGGGTGCAAAGTGTGAGTCAAAGTAGTCATTACAGAGTAGGCATATGTGTGTATTTCTCCTGGTGTCAGGTATTTGTCGGAGGTATATGTTGCAAATACTCATCCTGCGCAGGCAGTCCCCAAGTTACAAACACGATAGGTTTTGTAGATTTGTTCTTAAGTTGAATTTGTATGTAAGTCAGAACAGACATATTTTTAAAATGTAACTTCACCCAAAATAGATAATGTTTAGCATTGGATAGCATAGGAAAGGGTTAACACCCCTGTGGTGTTTGTTTTGATGTCTGTGCCCCCATTCATAATATTTCACCTCACTTTCTGTCCCTGTGATAACTGAATTTTGGGGAAAAAATGTTGTGGAAATCAAGCTTCAGTGGAAACACCTTCCCCTATGACAACTCTTCCAAGAGTGAATTTCCTTTCCTAGAGGTAGATTTCTCTCGCTTCCTGTTGTCTCATCACAGTTTGTAACTATGAAGTTGGATCTACACTATCATATCATCCAGATTATCAAAGCAGATAATCCACATTATCTGATTTGACATGAATTGTATGAGTCTACATTGTCATATAAACCAGTTCAAAGCAGAAAATCTGGATTTTACATGACAGTGTTGGTGGGGCCTGAGTTGTTTGTAAGTCGAATATTTGTAACTCAGGGACTGCTTGTATATTTTTAATAGGTGTATTTGAGACATCTTCTTTATATAGAGGATTGATATTTACAAACAAAAAACAACAAAAATGCATTTCAATACTTTTCTTCAAATTGTTTGCACTAAATTGTATGCTTTTTGCATAGTAAAACCATTATTATGCTCAGTATTATTATTTTTTTGCGAATATGTCTGACTTTCAACTTCATAGACCTGACTTTCAACATCATTATTCTCTTTCACATTTACAAACATTGCATGATCACAACAATCTAAAGTTGTCTAGGAAAATGTGGAAGTTCCTGGGAATATTGAACGTAACAGCCAGGGTAATTCATCATGCTTTGGTTAAGATCTGAAATACAATCTCTCATCAGTTCATTTTCTGAAGTTTTGAGTATCTTTCCTATTGACTATATTAAACTATGGCTAAAATGCTTCTAATTATTGCAAATTTGCATACGATCTGTAGACTATAGTATAGAGAATGGTGGAATTGATGAACAGTGGAAAGGATGAATATATAGGACAAATAGGTGTGGCTATTTTGTTAAATGGAAATTTTCAAAGATTTTTTTTCAAATAGGTCCCCCTCTCCTCTGTGTTTTCATTGTTCATATGCTGTGTCTTTTATGTGTTGTTTTATTCTCACTATCCCTCATATGTATCCAGATTCAAAGTGACAGGCCATTTCTTGGTGCAAACTTGTTGAAACTCACTTTGCTTACAAAACTTCTCAGCCTGTGTTTGGGGAAGGTCACTGTGTTCCATTTATTGTAACAGATACCCTGCCCAGATTCTGAATAGAAGAATGAGTGGTGCCATTGGAGGAGGCATAGTGTGTGACCACAGTTATGAACTGCAAACCAGTCACTGAGTTGGATGGTGGCCAATATATCCACTTGGGGGAACTCCACACTTGGAGGATCTTCCAAATTCCCTATGTAGCAGGGACAATCCCTTCCCACTTTTTCAGATGTATTTCAAATCTACTAGTTCCTCATTTCTCCCACTTTCTCCCTTTATCCTTATTTTATTTCAATTACTCCAAACTAAGTTTGAATTGCTAAAGCAGTTGTGCTGTTCTCTGACTCCACTGAGGTACATCCTAAAAGTTTTTTAGAATAGCTGCTGATCTCTGAAGGATCTGAAATAATTTCTTTGAACTACAACATTTATCTACTAAATTATTTATAACATTTTTCTACTAAGATTATTTAAACTAATAAAGGAAAATTAATTGCATTCTCATTGCTCAGAAGAATTTCTTCTTTACCGGTTCGGGGCTCTGAAACTTTTATGTTCTGGTAAGCTTCTTAAAGTTTCTAGGAGAGAAATAACCAATTGATTACACAGATCTTTTAACTATATTGATTACATGGATCTTTTAACTGATTCTATTTTAATAGAGGTTGGTTTTTTCCCCAAATCATATACCTGGTTTATGTAATGTTATTATTGTTTTCATGTTGCTGTATTTTATTCTATGTATCATGCATTTTATGTATGGCATCTTTGTGTGCTATTTTGTAAGCCGCCCCTAGTCCTATGGGAGATGATGGCAGGATATAAATAAAAGTTTTATTTTTTTATTATTATTATTATTAATTGTAGCTAATGTCATAGTGTTAATACCTTGGGCAGCAAAAGTCACCAAATCATGTGCCACATCAGCTGTATACTCGAATACTTTCCTAATTCTTGCTGCAATTTACTGGCACATAGGAAAAATAATAGAAAGTCCCCCACATAAAATATCTAGTGAAACATCAGTCTATACCATATTTTAAATTCTGTAAAATAGGTGTGCATGTGCTTTCAAGTTGCCTGTCTAGTTATGGTAATCCCAAGAATTTCACTGGGCATTCTAAGGCAAGGAGTACTTAAAGGTGGTTTTGCTACTTCCTTCCACAGAAATACAGCTTAGAGGCCCCTGGTATTTTTGGTGGTGTCCTATCCAAGTACTAATCAAGCTTGATCTTGCTTAGCTTAAAGATCAGATAGGATCTGGTGCCTTTTGGGTATTTAGGCAACCATTGTTAAGAAGAGTTAACAACAAAGGTGGCAACTCTAAACCTCCCAAACACTTTGCTGAAACCTTTCAGCCACAACATGAGGAAATGTCCCCAATCTTGAAATAGCTGTTAGAACAGCCAGTAATGTAGAGATACTGCTTCCGCTTGCTATTCATGGACTATGTTTGGTGGCAAATCTGAGAGACACTGCAGAAGCCACAATATTTAATCCCCCAGTCCTCTAGTTTTGCTCTAATCAAGTTGATGCTCTAGTTTTGCTGGAGGTCCATCCTTATCACTCTTCAATCTGCCTTCCTGAAATTGTCCTTTTCAGGATTCCCTATTCCTGTATTTCTGAAGATGATGTTCAGTCACATTTTTAAGATCAAGTTTTGAACTGAGACAAATAAACAAGAACAAAGAGCGTAATGATGATCTAAGTGAGAAGAGATCTTGTTCTCTTAACTATAACTTGTAACTTGTTTTTGAGAAGGTCAAAAAGACCCATATCTCTAACTAAAAAAATGATAAGAGGAAATTAAATTTTTTATCTCTGGATCTGACAGCTGGTTTGATTCATATTTGAAGCAGCTGTTCAACCTAACGTTGTTAATTATTTGTCACCTTTGTTTTTACATGAGCCAATTCATCCTGTCCTTGCATCTGCTTATGAACAGCTATCTTGGTGATTAGGTTATTAACGCTGACAATAAAGGAAATGTAACATCCTTTGTGTGAAAGCATAATGAGGTGTATGTGTATGCTAGGCTGGGGGAGTGGGGGTGGAAAAAGACAGAGACAGACGCTCTGTATATATTAGGTGTTTATGTCATTTTAGATAAGTGTATTGCATTGAGTGTACCCGCCTCAACCAACTGTGAATTTTACATTACTCAAGGAAGGGAAAAGTGAAATATGAGAGCAGGCCCAAGACATTCTGCCACCTAAGGCAATGGACAAAAATTGTGGCACTTATCCAGCTTATACACAGAAGGCTGACTCAATATGCAGTAGTGTTGACCACATCTGAGGCAACAGACTACTTTTGGGAGCCCAAGATTTGTATAGTGTACAAAGTATGGTGTGTACACAGTGAATCAGGAGAATACATGAATAAATAATGAGAGGTTCCCATAATTATAATAAACTTTATTTATAGCCCGCCCAATCTCCCCAAGGGGAATCAGGGCTACCTATATACTTTTTTCCTGCATGGTTTCCTGCCCAAGGACAGGGAAATCTCCGTTTCTTTTGCTTTGTTGCAATATTTTCAGAGAGCAAGATTGGTTTAACAGGTTGCATCTGTTCCATCTATCCTTCTTCTTGAATCTTATTTATCCAACTTCCCCTTCTCATAAGCTTTCAAAAGCACTACATACATCAGCAATGCATGCAAACAAATAATGCTTAACAAGTTCTTATTCTTTTCACCAACAGAAGTGGAGCGTCCTGGCTGGAAGAAAGTGTATTTTTGGTTCTGTGGGATTTCTGACAGCACCAAGCCTACTTTAACTATGGAGGAGAAAGCAGCCCTTGAAAAGAAGCTTACCAGCATCAAGGAAGAACCTATATGGAAAGCTCTTTGTAATGTGAATGCTGTAATTCTCTTAGCTATCAATATTTTCTTATGGGGTTACTTTGGGTAGGTCCAAGTCTCTGAGAAAACTCACAAGTATTTATTGGACTTGGGTTTATTTAGAATAAAGACAGACATTGACTAAACAGAAGGGATTTGTCTCAAGAAAACAAATTCCAAAGCCTTGTTCATACATGGGTCTACAGAGTAGCTTTGTGTAGATGAGAAACAACATGATCTACCTCAAAGGGCTGATGTAAAAACCAAACCAAATAAAATAAAATGATTTGTATATCAAAAGTACTCCATAAATATTTCTTGTTCATCTGTAAAGTTCTCTCAAATCTTATTTTGCTAGAAAGGAAAAGGCTTTTCCTTTTAAAAAAGAAAAAGCATCAGAAAGGCAAAGCTGAACCTATTCTAATGGATTTGGTATTGAGATCTCTAAACTTAAAAGTTTTAAAAAGAATGAAGAGTTATCCAATACAATAAAAGCAAATAAAGCATTGTTGCATAAATAATTTATGGACTTTAGTTGGGCCTATCAAATGCATCTGTTGAAATAGTTTCTTGTTCATGGAGACTAATGTCCAATAAATGTGTTCTTCAACCTTATTCAGCCTGAGGAACCAGCACAAGTACAAAGAGGCTTGTACAGATTTAGACCCTTCCCAGCTGTCCCTCCAGTTTCCCAAGATTTCAGAATTTGTTATGATTCTCTAGGCAGTCTATATGATTAAGAACTCTGTGATAAAGATTCTAAAATCTCTTGGAAGAAGGCCATAGGGAATACTATTCCCCTCCTCAAAAATATGAAAAGCAAAATAAAAGGTGCATTTTACAGTAAGGTAATGATAGTAATGATAGTCTTATAATTTATTGAATGGCATTTCTTGAAAAAAATCACAAACAACACCACAAAACAAGATTATATCCAATGCATTATTTTAGCAGCTTCCCATGCACTGTACTGAAGGGGCTTGAGCTAAGGAAAATAGAAAATTACCAGTCACAATAAAGTTCAGACAAAGTCTCACATACAGAAGGGAGTGAGGAACCAAAAGGAAGGGAGAGTTCGAGCCTAGTGAGAAGTTCAACTTAACAACATGCAGGCGCAAGAAGAAAAATGACTGCTGAGACAACACTGATAAGAGATTGACTCTAAAACTCTGAAGGTTTGGAGCTAATTAATAATAGAGGGACATGGCAAAGATCACCAACAGTATAGTTATAAAAAATTCCATAACTCGTTTGCTCTTTGATAAACATTGTTGGCTGTAATGGTGTTGAAAACTGCTGAGCATTTTACATATTCACCTACAGAAAGAAATGGGCAAACTCCTGGACTTCCTAGTGGTCCTCATGTTCTCCAGAAGTATGATGTCATCTTATTGCAGATAGCTGTAGGAACAGAGCCAACTACAGGCAGCCCCCAAGTTATGAACAAGATAGCTTCTGTAGGTTTAGTGTTAAGTTGCATTTGTTTGTAAGTCGGAACAGCTACATTTTTAAGTGTAAGTCCAGTCAAAATATATATACATACATATTAGTTTTGGCAGCATAGGGAAAGGTTAACACCCTTGTGGTGTTTGTTTTGCTGTCTATGCCCCTGTTCAGAATATTTCACTTCACTTTCTGTCCCTGTGATAGTTGAATTTTGAAAAAAATTGACTTGTTGTGGAAACGATTGGTGAGAAAGCTTCAATGGTCACCTTTTCTCCATGATAACTCTTCTAGGTATGAATTTCCCTTCCAAGGGGTTGATTTCTCTCCCTTTCTGTTGTCTCACCTCCATATTGTAACTATGAGTCATTTGTAAGTTTGGTGTTTGTAACTTGGGGACTGCTTGTAGTTTCTTGCTTATGCATCTGCCCCGCCCCTGTTCATGCAATGGATGTGTCCAGCTTGCAGACAAGTAGACCAAGCATTCAAGAATGGGGAAATGAAATGTAGCTACACTTGGGGGAATTTTATGATATGCTAGTGGAATGCCTTAGGCATATCTACCATATGCATTATAGGAAGGTAGGCTTACCAGACCTATTAAAATTATAGTCTTTTAAGAAAGTGAAATTGTGCAAAATGTCAGACTATCCTCAGTTTTTTTATATGAATTAACACAACAGTCTGCATTTTTAGATCTCCTTGCGTCACGATAGCGGTGGATTAATGTGATGAGGTAACTTCATAATTTCCCACTACAACACAGCTGACAGCATCAAGCACCAGTTCAATAGGGCAAAGCTCCACATTACCATGAGAGATCTTTTTCTGAAAGAGCCCCTTTTCACTCATCTAGTATGCTAAATCTATATGTGGGTCTGATTTGGCAAAGACTTAATTTTTCATGCTAGCCACTCTCAAGAAATGAGATGTCAGCACTGTAGGGTTCATATATCCACATTATAGACAGATTGTGGTTTAACCACCCTGTCCTGGATGCAATGCATTGCCTCAATTGTAATTGATATACAAGTCCATTGACAGGAGACAATTTTAATGAAGTCAATACATACTTTTTTTTTATTAATCTTCCCTACTAGGGCTGTGTCGATCAGGAAATGATTATCATTCATTCTCCTGACAAATCCATCAAGGTCATTCATTATTGTTCCTCCAAAAAGATTCTTCTTTTAAACTAAGATTAATGACTTGCTGTTTTCTTGTCAGGCTGGCTGAGCAAAAGGAAATGAAATTAACAATGAACACCTACAAACATGTCACTACACTAATTTATTGGGAAAATATTTTAAAATGTTATTTAAACTCTAATGTTATTTTAACCATATCTACCGACCACCCTGAGTCCCCCTCCTGGGATGAGAGGGGTGGGGTACAAATTGGGAAATAAATAATAAATACTTCTGTGGGCATTTTTACCACATGTAGTCAGAAACTACATAAATTTGAGGAAGATGGACAGCAAGTTTAACTATTAGATTTCATTTTTATGCACTCCTATCCATAAATTCTAGATATAAAAAGCAAGTAATGACTTTCTCACCAATTAAAGCATTCATCATTATTACAACACAATCAATTTTGTCCAGTACCAAAGAATTTATTCTATGCTCATTTATTCAAATTTAAAAGACACTCAATGGCCACAGACTATTCATTTAAGATAATTAGGATCAGTTTCCTCTGAAATCCTAGACGCTGTTCAGATAGATAATAGTGCTGTAATGTACACCTATATTACAACAATGGATAAAATCCAGCAGTCCATATTTTACAGTACTGTATAGTTGGTACAACTTATATGGTTCTGCATCTATGGATTCAACCAACTATGGTTTGAAAATACAAAAACAAAATCTAAAGACACAAACTTTTTAAGGTTTTTTTTTTTGTATTTTCAAACCCCTTTTCTTTTCTTTCTTTTTTCCTTTCTTTTTCCTTTCTTTTTGCTCCATTCCAAGCACAATGCCTGAAGTGATTGGCTTGACCTTGAAGGAGCTGAGGGTGGCTACGGCTGACAGAGATCTCTGGCATGGGCTGGTCCATGAGGTCACAAAGAGTCGGAAGTGACTGAACAAATAAACCACAACAAAAACACAGTGCCGATGCATAGACATACCTGCTGTGGCCTTAAGCCACTTCACAGATCTTCATGCTCTCTATGTAAACAGTGGGACATGAGCATCCATGGATTTTGTTATCCATTAAATGTATTTATGTGTCCTGGAAACATTTGTTCGTAGGGAGGTTGCCTTTGTCTGCCTTTGAGACTGAGAGTTTCCAGAACCATAGTTCAAAGTTCAGATCACTGACTTATGACATTAGTATAGGTTTGTGTGGAATTTTTAGGGGGGGGGGGGGTGAGACAACCAGTATGCCATTTGTAATTGTTCACTATTGTTTTTATTTAAAGTATAATACTTTTTCTTCACATTCATTCAGAATGAACACTTTATGAGCTGATCTACACAAATATTGATGAGCTGAAGAGCTTGAGAATGGCCATGTAAGACCAGTAGAAGGGCTTCTCCATAACTGAGGCCATAGTTTCTAAAGCAGATACTTCAAATGAGGCACGGGTGTATGGAAAAGCATTCAAATGGCAGCGTCTCACATCACACAGTATTGAAACCTTGCAACTTTTGACTCATTTGGCATTTGGAAAATGTATTTTTCACAGTCAAGGTTTCACCGCTGGCATTGTTGATGTTCTTCTCAGTGGTCTATGGCTTTTATCCAAGCCATTTTGCATTATGTCTGGCAAGGACATTTCTCTCCCAGATTTCACAAGCCTTCATTGTCCAGTCAGGCATTCATCTTATTGGAATGACCAGACAGGCTTTTAAAATTAGTTTAAAATGATTTAAAATTTAAAATTGAAATAATTCCACAGACATCAATTATAGTTACATTGGCTGCTCCACGGTATGTTTTTGTCTATAGCTTCACTTCAAAGTAGAATATGTTTTCTACGCCTCCCCAACTACATAGAGTTTCTTTTCTAGTTGGAGATGATCAACTTGCAAATATTCTCTGGTACTACACTATGCCTGCATTGCAATGTTCTGGAAAATCAACACTGATTAAGGAACAGAAAATATAATGAAGCAAACACACATTCATCCTACACATGGAATGTTTAAATTCCCCGGAAGTTCACCCTGAATTTCAACAGCTGTAGCACCCCATTTCAAGAGTAGAACTTTAAAACATTTATTTACTATATGGAGAAAGAATCGGGCAATTGTGACCATCCGAGAGTTGTTGAACCACAACACGTATCCATCTTACCAAGAATAGGCCTGGGTGAGAGATTATGAGCTCATCCAACAACACCTAGAAAGTCATCGGTTCCCAGCCTAGACAAAAAAAGGTGGAAGTCAGTGATATAGTCTTCCTTAAAAGGCATAGGATGTGGCAGGAAGGGAGAAGGGTGGAAAACATTTGGACAAGGACAGTGAAACTAAAACTACCTCTGAGTAGTTTGAAAATAGTTTTTGCAGTACCTTGAATTTTTTTCTTTAGTTGCTGCCATGCATTGGCACACTACTTATTTCTAGGCTGTAGGACAATCAGGCCAACTCATTAAAAACAAACATAATTGACATTTGCTTTTTCTTTTAATAGTTATTCAAAATGCGAATAGGAAATAAATATTGAGCTACAAACCTTATTCATTTAGCATGTAGGATTTGTAGCTTCTTCGGCGAAAGATTTGTTGGAAGAAGAAATGTTCCAACTAAAGCTTTGGCTGGCAGTGATTTCATTTTTTATGATTAACATATAGACTTGCAAGGAGCCATATGTAAGATTACTGTTACAATTTCTGTGAATCCTCCTGGTTAAGAACTTGGGAGAGCTTTAAAGATTATTCTTTTTAAAAGGCAGGGGAGGGTATTTGAGGACAATTTTTTTTTTAATTGGGGGGGGGTATCTTTTAACAGGTCTCAGATGGAAATATAGTTGTCTTTCTGACATTCATTTTCAATTATCCCAAGCCTCAGTGACTTGACTGCTGA